GCTGCTGAAAAGTTAAAATATTTTGGGTTTGAACTGTTGGTCAGACTAAACTAAACTTCTTAAGGCTTCACATTGAGCTTTAGGAAAATGTGAGTTTGAGAAATTGGGATTATTCAGTACGTGATAGCATTTATAGATAAAACGATAAATACATTAATTGTGAAAAGAACAGAAATAATTATTAGCTGAAGGCCTACATTTAATCCACCCTCTATATATTCAACATCCTGAGCAAACAGTTGTTCAAACAGCATTAAGAAGACATTCAGGCATTTCAGAATGTTTTTATTATTGTGCATTTTAATGTTCACATTGTAATCATTGCTGTGTCTCCTTCTTATCGAGGTGAGCTTTAACGTGAGACTGAATCCATCCACAGGAGGGAGCCACAGCGTGGCAGTCTCACTCATCTGCATTGTCAACCTCATTGTTCTGCCTCCTCCAGACACAGCAGAACGCATTTACACTTCAAACACATCAACAGAGGGAAACTAGATTAACAGCTACCCTCCACCTCTTCTCCTTTTTACACTGCAAAATACATGCTAAAGTATGCACAAACTTAGCACTCACGCACAATCGCTGAACTAGAAAGTGGATACGCTTTTCAAGTCGCTCGGCACAAGCAATAATGTGACCTCACAGTGGAGGAAAAGGTGACAGCTCAGCTTGACTTTGATGAATGCAATGAGGGGATCAGTACTTTCCTTTTGATCTTGACGTGTGTGTGTGTGTGTGTGAATCTTGGTCAGGCATAAAGACAAGAGAGCAAGCCGCTATTTTTGTATTTTATAATGTACCCAGATTGAGCAGGCTTCCTGGAGACTGTGAATTAGTTAGTTTTTGGAATAATCTCCACATCTGTTTGCACTGAAAGGTTGATTTTAAAGTAGTTTTGACAGGAAAATCTACCATCGAGCTCTGTGTTTTCTCACCTTCCTGAGTGTATTTCTAGGAAGCCAAAAAGTTCATGTCTAGTCTTTTGCTGTAATCGAGGTTTGGGGATTGGAGAAACCTAATTTCCCTGGATAAATGATCTTCACTGGCCACGTACACGGGTAACCAGATTATTTTTATTACATGTACATGTGCATGACGAAGACTTCGGTTATTACAGAGCAGGTATGAAAATTCATTTCACGGGCACGTTTTTTTTTTTAAATTCAAAGCTTTATGCACTCTTGCTCACAGACGCTTAATTTAAACACTTCAGTGGCACAATACGTCATTCAATTAATAATTATATCCCCAAGGTGGCAATCAGTCTTTTCACAAGCCATCTCCCGCAGTGTCTGTGGGGCTGCTGGAGATTAAGTATTTTATCCAAGAACACACGAGTCCTCCCCAGCACGGTCCACAGAACAGGTCTCTGCTCAGTTAGCGAGCCCGACCATCCTCCTGCTTATGTCCCACAGTCTCCTGGCTGCCCGGTCATCTGTAGCTTTGGCCATCAGCTCCTCCTCCTCGCAGTTAGCGAAACACTTTCCCGAAACTCCCTCCACCTCGGGGGAGCAGGACAGATAAAGCGGAGTCTGGGCCCCCTCCAATGGACTCTTGAAAAAGAGTAGCGAGGCGAGGTAGAACAGCGGCTTTGCCAGGAAGGGGATTTGGACATGCCTGCCTAGTCTGGTCCTCACGATGCCCGGGGTGAGAGCATTGACCGTGACCCCCGTGCCCTCCAGCTGGCGGGCCAGTTCGAGTGTAAAGAGCAGGTTGGCCAGCTTGCTCTGACTGTAGCAGGAAGCCTTATTGTAGTTATTTTCACTGTTCAGGTCGTCGAAGTTGATTTGGCCGTACTTGTAGAGCTTCGAGGAAACCACGACGATGCGGCTGGGAGCCGAGGTCTTCAGGAGGTCCAGCAGGAGGTGAGTGAGGAGGAAGTGACCCAGGTGATTCACACCTAGCTGCAGCTCAAAACCATCCTCTGTCTTTGTGTAGGGACACTGGTAGACGCCTGCGTTGTTGACGAGCACGTCGATCTTGGATTCCTCCTAAAAGAGTCCGAGAAATTTATATCAGTTAAGACTTTGACGTATAAATGAAAGTTTTTTTTAAATCTAAAGCAACTTTAAGTACTATACAATTTATAAATATGAGTAAAGTATGAGGTTTCAATGAAATATATCAATAAAAATAGCCCCTATAGCAGATAAAGGGGTATAGATAGATATAGATATGTAGAATATATTGTACATTTGTGATGATGGTGCTGTTTGTGTGTTTGAACGTATACAGACTTAACTCACTGACCTTTATAATGTGCCTGCCTTTGTTAAAGCATTAATTCATTCCAACAAATCTTTGGTCTTGAAGGGAACATCCAGAGACACCCAGTGGTTGTGGGAGGTAAATGTTGGCTCCTGACACGGAGTATATTTTACAGAAATACTGCATTAGTATTCTTTAAGTGACTTACACTATCAAAGGGATCGAGAAATTGGGAAGATATATGGATACTAATGGATCTGTTGAGTGTAGAGTTGATCAGCTGATCAACAGAAAATAAGGTTGATAACTGATTCATCATTTTTTAAAGCAAGAAGGCAAAAATAATTGATGTAATGTAAAAATGTAAGATTTTTGTCTTAAATCATAATAAATACATTGTTTTGTGGTTGTGGATTTTTTTTATTGCAGCAAACAAGACATTTAATGACGTTACTTTGGGCTTCAGTAAATTGTGATGGGCATTTTTCACAGTTTAACTATTTAACTGCATTTTTTAACTGTTGCTTTTATACCTAAATGATTAATGAAGTACATAATTGGCAGAATAATATACTGAACGCAGCCTCCAAAGTACGGTTGGCTCTGAGAGTATATCTTAATGACATCTTAGGAAAACATCAGTATTGTGCCAGGGGACCAAACTTTCTGGTTAATTAGAGTAGTAGCAGGAATTAGCTGATGGATGCTGTCAGACTTTCTCATCCTGGCTTTATTCTGAAAGGGGATCCAACTGTCTAACAGCGATGAACGATGTGGATTTTATCATCTGCTATTAGAAGTTCAGAACCTGTAATTTATGCACGACTGACAGTAAGAGAAGCTATGGTGTAATGAACAAAGATGATTCACTGTTGTGTACCGTAACTCTCTGACCTAACCAAATGTTATACACAACATAAACAAACAAACAGTTCTGACTCTTCAAAACACAAACATACTTTGGTTTTCATAGAACTTCAAACATACTGCATACAAATTCAAAGTAAGTTATTATTATTAGTATTATTATCAGTATTTATAGTGTACCCCTGCTGGTAACAGTGAGTTAAGGGCCACTATAGACCTTTTTCATGTCAAGGACCCCCACAAAAGATTACATTAGACCACGGACCCCTAATTTAAGAGTATTTTGTATTAAGAAAGTAATATTTTTTAGGTTTGAAAATTGTCTTCACAGTCAATTATTGATCAAACCAGGATCACTATACAATCAACCCCATTGCTTCCCACTTAAGGCCCCCTCTTGGTCCCCGGACCCCAGTTTGAAAACCACTGCATGAGGCTACTGAAGTCCAGCACCGCGGACAGCTGAAGCACCTGTACTGGCCCCTTTGTATTGGACCAGACTCCAGCACCTGAACCAACATTTAAAATAAACTGCACATTGAGCATCATCTCAACTTACCTGACGTATTTCCTCACAAAATGTCCGGACTGATGTGAGAGAAGCCAGGTCCAGGTGTTTGACGACCACCTGGCCCTGTGCTGGTCCCGCCTGTTTCTGGATGTCTTTAGCTGCCTCCTCGGCGCTCCGCTGGTCCCGACAGGCCATGACGACCCGGGCTTGGAGCTTCAGCAGCTCCCCGGCCAGGGCCTTCCCTATCCCGCAGTTAGCCCCGGTCACAATGACCGTCTTCCCTCGCATGGTGTCGGCGGGATACCGGAGCAGCTTCACGGCTTTCTGCCGGGGGAATAAACGGCGCATCAGCAGCAGCACCCCACCGCCGACAACAGCGGCTACTAGCACCGCAGTGGACATGGAAGCGGAGACCGGTGACCGGGAAGCAAGGGCAGGATATCTCGGTGGCACGGTGTGTTATGAGACCAAGTTACAAAATTGCCCCGGAAATACTACTTAGGCAACTTATTGTGGACTTGTCACATGATATTTGTATTTTTCGCACACTTTACATATGACTTTGAGTAAACGAGTGCACCGAAAAGCAAACGGCCCAACTAACAAACGGCTCAACTAACAAACGGCTCAACTACAACTAACCAAACCGGTTCAAACTAACAAACGGCTCAAAACTAAATTAACGGCTCAACTAATTAACGGTTAACTAACCAAAACGGTTTCAACTAACAAACGGCTCCAACTAATTAATCGGCTCAACTAACTAAAGGCTCAACTAACAACGGCTCACTAACAAACGGTTCAACTAACAAACCGGCTCTACTAACAAACGGTTCAACTTACAAACGGCTCAACTAATTAGACGGCTCAACTAATTAACGGTTCAACTAACAAACGGCTCAACTAAATAACGGTTCAACTAACAAAACGGCTCAACTAAATAACGGTTCAACTAACAAACGGCTCAACTAACTAACGGTTCAACTAACAAACGGCTCAACTAACAAACGGTTCAACGGTTGCTAAGCAGCAATGTAGCGCAATAGGTTAGCTAATGCTATCAGGCGTTTCTTAAAACTACTTCCGGGGTATTTTTCTAGCCGAACTGTTTTACACGTTAAACTAAAGTTAGCGTTACACCTGTGTCAAAACTTTCTCCCGAAGCCATTAGAAATGTTTTTTATATATATGTGTGTGTTTGTATATAACCGGATTTCAAATAGCTACTTTTGAATGGAGATTGAAACTAGAATGATTATTTTTCCTCCTATAAATATTGTCAACATATAACCTATTTAATTTCAATTCTTTTATAAATCATATGCATTAACCACTAGGTGGAGCTCGAAAATAGATTATCAGTTTCTCAATTGCACGTTTAAAGGATATTTTACTTCCTAAATGCTTATTTTATTGTCCTCAAAGTCGAACTTCTATCACAATAATACAATTATAGTGTCATAAGTGTTATAAGTGTCAGCCATCAGCTCCAGGCCTAGGATAAGCTGCTGTCACCTTTTCTAAACTTTTTTGCAACACCTGTGCCTTTATATAGGTTTCTATTGGCTTATTATTATGTCAGGAGTGCAAAGAATATAAAAACATTTAAATTATAGGGTTTTCTTGGCCACACAAAATTATGCAATATATGAAGAAATGAGAAAGCATGCAACAGTTGCCGAACATAACATTTGTATTGTGCTGCAACCGCAACATAGTAAAACATAACTTAAAAATAATATGTCCAACAACTTTAACAGTGCTTCTCTTTCAAAACTAAATATTTAAAGATAGCTGTAAAAAACCCTTATAAACTGTTTTATGTATAAATATATACGTATGTTCTATTGCACAAGTAAGAAAACAAATTGTTGTGTGCTGTGGTGTTTGGCCTCTATAAAGACAGTTAGATTTGTTATTAATTGTTGTGTTTTTTTGTGGCAAAGAAAATAATATTGCTGCCTTTTGAAGAATTACTTCAAATGAACTGAATACCATACAGGAAATCAAAGCCGGTTCAGACATACAGACATATGAGTTAATCATTACTATTCTTAAGCCATCCAGCCATTATATGGTTGTGTAGGTGAACTCGTTTAGACCAGTATAGACTGGTCCGTCTAACAGGTGACTCTATTGCTGATGGGCTCTTTACAGCCAGAACTGTTCCATCCATTGAGCTTTCCACAGTCTTGGGTAAACAAAATATTATATTATTATTAGTGTTTGCTCTTTTCACCCATAGTCTGACATTAAGTTTTTTAATTTTTTAAAATTTCGTTGTACCTGTGACAATGACAAATAAAGATGATTCTGAAGTGTCTTCTGTTGTACTGTAGTTTATGTTATATACTCCAGTGCTGAAATGTACTTTTGCAGTGGTTTAATGTAACTTAGTACATATACACAAGTACTGTACTTAAGTACACAGTTGAGGTACTTGTACTTGAGTCTTTTCTTTTAATGCCACTTTCTACTTCTACTCCACTATATTTCAGACATAATTACTGTACTGTACGCTACACATTATCTGTTTGTAATAGACTACTGGTTGGACAAAACAAGCATTGTGAAGGTGTGTGAGGGCATTTCTCCCTATTTTCTAAACGTGTACAAACCAATCAATCGATTAATGGAGGAAATAATAAGCAGCTGGATCAATAATTACAGTCATATACAAAAAAGTGAATCATTTGATCCTGAATTTGCACCTCAGCAGTCACAGTGAAATCCTGCGTTCACATAAATGCATGATTAATAATAATCTAATGTTATAGTATATAATAGTTTCATGATCACAGGAGCCATTTGTCTGCATCAAGTTTTACTTTTAACACTTTAATGGAATATCTTCACCTCTTTTTTAACCGTGTAAACATGCGCCAGTAAATATAAACAGACTCGGTGTGATTCATTTCCTCGTCAGAGCATTATATCGGGAGCGGGGATCGTAATTGTTGCTTTCCCGTTGCTCCGGGGATTGAAACGCAGTCACGTTATAAGACTATCCACAGACTGTCAACAAGTTCCTTCACTTCCTCTTATCTCGCTGTGCGTCCAGTTGGGTAATACCGCCCGTTTATTTCAGGGTTTTGCTTCAGTTCCTGTTACTTGATGGCTAAAATACAGTTAGTTAAATACAGAGTTAGTGGGGAAATGCAGGCAGTCTGACACCATAAAGGCGATTTAAGCTATTTTATCTGGCGCAACTGAACATCCCAAAAGCTCTACATGCATTTTAAAAGGATCTTTATTTGAGCTCTGGTACTGGGATAAAAGAAATGTATTCCTCTCTAGCTGTATTCATCCTGATTGTAACCTCCTCCATTTGTAAAGGTAAGTAAAGCTCTTATAATGATCTTTCTTGTTGAAGGTGAAGCATGGTGTTTGAAATGCAGATCTGCTGACCGGTCAGATAGGACTAAGGGTCTGGGACTTATGGGAAATGCTTCTTTTGTTTTGGTTTCATAACACAATGTTCCCCTCAAAAAACAGTGACCGGTATTTAAAACGTCTTGAATTTAACTAGAAATATTACAATATTATATCCCTTTCAGCCAATTAGCATTTTAAATTATTATGTACAGTCACATATAGGCCATTGAGACTAAAAACTGTATTTATTTATTTATTTATTTACAATGCATATTAATCAACACTGCAGTCTACACGTAAATGTAAATGTGTCACAGTTAGCTAATAAACTTTCCATCTAGTCTTTAATCTGGGCGGGTTAAAACAATGCTTCAACAAAACAATACAGTATAATACATAAATACATTACAGATATGTAACAGTAATATATAAAAACAATGAGATTATTTAAAGACAGAGCCAGAGATGAGGTGGTAAGACGACTTGATGATTTAAGTGCAAGTTTGGTTTGCCTTTTTTTTTGTTAATTTATGTTTAAAGGTTCATTTATTGCATTAAAATCTTATATTTCTTATTTTGAAATCAACACAGATATAGCTCTAACAACCAATATTAATTATTTAGGTGTCTGCAAGTGACTTCACGAAGCATTTACTGTAAGTCAGAAGACATTTTTTACTCCGTGGAAAAACACACACACACACACACATACAAGTTTATTGAGCTAAAAGCTTTATGGATCATCTGTCCGCTCAGATTTAGTACATTTCATTTATGTAAAAGACAATTGTAAAGTTACTGCTATATATTGCGAATGCGGACGTAGTTTTAGTCCATGATACAATCTAGACTATATATGTTCTATTGGAGCTGTTACACAAAGAAAAAACATCACTATTGAAAACTAAACATCAAATTCAGTTTAGTTTTTAATGATTGTTGGAAGGTTTCACCTGTTCTGCAGTCTGGAATTTACACATGGATCAAAAAACTGTATTATGTATTGTAAGTTCTATGATCACACTTGGTGCCTGTAAATGTAAAATGTTTACTGGTGACAAAAAAAAGCTTTAATTTGAATGATTTTTATTGTTATGGGCTTTTTAATTGCAAATATAGGACAGGAGCCTTCTCCAAACACCATTACGCATTACTTGGCTTACTCTAATTCTGAGGTCCTGTCACATGCCTGAACACAGTTCCTGATCTATTTATGGCTAAAACAAAAGGTGTGGGAAAAGCCAGGGAGGACTGTGTGGAAAGATTACAGGACTCTCATAAACCTGCTGCAATCCAGATGTGAAACAAAATATTTGTACTGGAATTTGGCCAGAAAGTTAGAGCTGTGCAATGAGTTTGCAATCACAGTGCATCCTAAAAAGCAGGGTTGATCACAGACTCGTCACACTCCATTAAGATAAAGATAGGCTTTGCTATTGGAACAGATTTCAACAGAGATGAACTCGAGCAAACCTCGGGCTAACTGCGGTTAGCTGTGGTGTCTTTCTGTGTTGTGTTGTTGTAAACTGATTTTAAAAGGTGATTTCCAGTCACAAAGCTAAGCATTTCTTTTTTAAATCCACAAGATCACCACTTACTGCTATTGTTAAAGGTCCAGTGTGTATACAGGCATTTTTAAAAAATGTTCCTTCTTTCAGAGTACGGTGAGTGCATTTATCCTGTTAGCTGTAAATCTTCAAGCCATCAGTTCTAATGTAATATCAGAGTACATATGTGGGTTATTTTAATAGCCTTCAACAGTTTGCTTACTACCATTTTTGCCAAGCATTGGATTAAAAAACTGATGCCACTGTCATGTCTTTACACTCGATACGAAGCATCCAGTCAGCAGCAGTAGCTTAGCTAGCAGACTGGAAACAGCTGGCCTCAAATTGTTAATCTGTTTGCGAATTTACTGAAGTGTAAAAAGGAGCTTTAGAGGTCCTAGAAGGCACATTTTGTTCCTGTGGGACAGAACCAGACTAGCTGTGCCTTCCTGTTTTCGGCCTTTGTGTAACAAAGCTAACCAGCTGACGGCTCCAGCTGCATATTTGCCATAAAGACACGAGAGTGGTATCAATATTCTCATCTAAGAAAGCAAATAAGTGTATTCCTAAAAATGTCCTTAAATTGTCTGTTACATCATTATTCATTATTATAATTGCAGGTCAGAACGTTTTCCCCAAAGATCCGTACATCGAAGTGGGATCCAGTATCAATATAGTGTGCCAGAATTCCGTCCAAGGCAAAATATAC